CTCCCGAGAGGCACCTTCCGCTCCCACGCCCGGCGCGCGGGCCGGAGCCTGCCCGCGGCCGCGCTGCCCGCGCTCCCCGCGCTCGCCTCGCTGGGGCGGGACTTGGGCGGCACGTAGGGCTCGCGTGTGCGGGCTCCGCGCCGCCGGCGAGGTCCTCGCCTCTGTCCCCCCCCACCCCCCCCGCGGCACGCCGGAGAGAGGGTCCGCGAGGTTTTGTGGGTGGTTCTTAACCCTTCGCGTTTGGGGGAAGTTTCTTTTTCTTGTGTTTGTCTCTGCAGATAGGTCGGTTAGCTGCACAGCTGGGGACGTTTGTCCCTGGATTAATAAAATGGAGTACCTTAAGTGCTCGCTTTTTAGTGGGTAGTAGGCGACCAACTTTTCCTGTGAAGGGAAAGATTCTAGAAAGCCAGAGAAAATAGAGCAAAAGGGACTTACCTGCGTGTTTCAGTTTTCTCTTTTTTTACTTTATAACTGTGGAAAGTTGTTTCTTTCATGTCTGTTCTCTTACATTATTCACATGTTTTCTAGTTAAATTGGCAGGATAGTAAACAGGCTCGAGACAGATCCTGCCGTGGCTAGTTAATCTAGTAGTGGTGGTGATTACACTTAGTTCTAAGTTTAAGTTGCAGAATCCCCCCCCCCCCCATGACGGTAAGGCTGTTTCATCAGTTGTCAGGATGGAGCCTCAAAGTGCGATGACCCTTGAGTGTTAAAGGACTGTTAACGATTGAGATGAACAGATGAAGTAGACGTGAAAAGGCTGGATTGGAAGGCTGGTCTGGTTCTATACTGAAAGCCTCTGACGAGATAGCTGACGTTGTTGGATGGATCTAGGACTCAGAACTGAGCAAAGGGATCCGAGCTGCTGCCACAATTTAGTAGCAAGTGTTAAGGGGCGCTCCTGTTCTGGATTTCAGAGTGCCTTGTGGAAGTCTGAGGAGTTTGAGTTTAAAGTATATGTTTAAATGAAACCTGTCTACTTAATGGTTATCAGAATGTCTTCTGTAGATTGGGTAGCATGCACACTGATCGTGTTGGAACCAAAAGTCATGTCTTTCCATTAATGTGCAGAGTAAGAGGGGTGAATTGGTTATTGTTGAGTTTTGCTGAATTCAGGATCCCATCTGAAATTAGATATTGATAGAAAGATACGTTAACTGTAAAACTAAATTTACTTTTTCTCATGTGGAGACGTGTTGGTTTTATAGAAATTCAGAAAACCAGGGTGTTTTATATATTCTGTATTTGATCTTACCAAATTGCTTGCTTACTTATTCAAGAAAATTTGGTAATGGAGGCTTTACTTGATGAAGTGATGTGTATCAAGTCAGCCAGTCAAGGGGGGAGGTCTGAGGGGCCTGACTAATGGGAGTTAATTTACAATTAAGTCAGCATTTAAAAGTCATTTCTTCCCCTGTGCAAGTGGCTGCTTACAGAGTTGCACAGTTTGGGGTTATTTTAATGCCCATTTCTTTGCCGAGTTAGTTGCCTGGTGCATTACCGACTACTCTGTGCCTAAAGGTAGTTCTAAGTCTTTGATGGCAATAACTTGGTAAGGCCTGTTTCCTCAGACGTGTTTTGTGGTGAACCATCCTGTCCCTCTTCCTTGTCCTTGTGGTTTGGAATTATTACCGAAGAGAAGCTAAATAGTTTGTGATTAACTGTGCACGCCCAAGTTCAAATTCTGAATATAGTGGAATCTTAGGAACTGAAATGAGATAATTGATAATAGGTGAAGAAATCAAAGCAGGTTAATTGTTAAGCTGAATTTCTCGGTGTGTGTGTGTGGACTGCGGTAGGCAGTATGTCAGTGCTTTCACAGACTGTCTCGTCTGATCCCGGCAGGAAGGGTTTGAACACCACGGTGGTTTCACCAGAACATTCCTTTGGATGGGAATGAGCTGTGAGGTGACCTTTTTGCCTAAGTCTAAGCTTAGTTATCTGAAGTTCTTATAAAAAGTGCATAGGGTATTCTCAGGGCTCTAGTTACTTGTTAGTACCTCTAGGCTAAAAAAAACAGTGGGAGCCAGCATGTTTGTGGAAACCAAATCTTTGGATTTTATGGGTTTCTTTTGCTTGGGTGCCGTCTTGTTCCAATTGCCCCCAGAGTCACAGCAGTCTGTGTGATTGGCATCTCTTTAATGGAATAACAGCAAAGGAAATCTAGTGGTTCTGTACTAGAGTAGCTTTAGATCTGGAATGGTCCTTGGAGATCTGCTTTTTTCTTTCCTCTTTTTTCAACTGATGTAATTCACATGGGCGCTGAGTTCGGCCGCTTCTGCTGTATTTACCAGGTTGTGTGGACATCACCGCTAGCTAATTCCACATTTTCATCGTCTCAAAAAGAAACCCCATACCCGTGAGCAGACACTACCCATTTCCCCTCTCCCTCCAGCCCCTGGCCACCACTAATGTACTTTGTGTTTCTCTGGATTTGCCCATTCCAGCCGTTTCATTTAAATGGAATCGTAACAGGCTGTGGTCTTGTGTGTCTGGCTTCAGCCTGTGTTCAAGGTTCATCCACATTGTTGAGCGTACTTTATTCCTTTTGAAGGCTGAGTAAGATTCCATAACGTAGGTACTAGAGCAGGACCTGCTTGTTTTTGCACATGAGAAGATGAAGGCTCAGTGAGGCTGAGCGTGTTGTGGTATTTCATTACACTTCAGTTGTGTCTTAAACATGCTTAATCCACGGTTTTAAGGCCCCTGTTTATTTTTGTTTTTTTTCCTGGCATATGATTGATGAACATTTCCATGTTGCCAGATGTAGGGCACAGTCTCATATGTATATTTTTCCCTAGATTGCCATCAGTATTGTGTAGGAGTGACATCCTATTTTCTAGAGCTTACTGTAAACCAGTTAGTCATGGTGAAGTAGGGAAGCTCATGATAAAAGCTGAGTATTTAAAACATTTAGGGCTTTTTAAAATATTTATTTATTTAAGAGAGGGGGAGATTTCTCCCCCTGCAGGGGGGGGTGGGGAGGGAGAGGGAGAGACTCTCAAGCGGACTCCCTGATGAGCAAGGAGGGCTTGATCTGTGGCTTGACCGCACAACCCTGATATCATTACCTGCGCTGAAATCAAGAGTCAAATGGATGCTTAACTGACCCAGGTGCCCCTAAAACATTTAGTTTTGAGAGAAACCTAAGAAGGCTTTAAAATTTTGAGGTTTCAGGTATTTAGAAATTGTGACCTTCACGCAAGGCTGTTGGTATTTTACTTATATTTTGTTAGACCTATATTTGGTCTTAACATAGAAGTGCTTTATGATGGATTGAGCAAAACATCTGAGACCAGAAAACCATTGATACTAAGATGAGTAAAGTGGAAGAAAGTTGGAAAGTATTTAATTGTTTCTCAGTTCTTTATATTCAGAACGTTCAAGTTTGCTAAAAGTTACTAGTCCTGACCTTTTGCCACTCCTCTGTGGGTTTTCCACCTCCTCCTCCTTTACCTGTTTGTCCTTAACTAGAGATTCCATGCACAGAAATTCCCACGGAGCCAAGCCACAGACGCACCCTCTTCCCCAAAGTGATCTTGTCGAGCCTGTGACCTACATGGGGCAGTCTAAGTCAATGATTCTGATTCCTGACCCAGTAGTTCTGGAAGTTGGCTTGCTGATAAAGCCTCTGTGCTGTCACACTCTGCTCCAGGTTGTTCACCTCTCCTCTTCCTTCCCCCTTCCCCCGGCAACAGCTGACTTCCCCCTAGTGGGAAAGGAGAAATCCCAATTAGGAACAGGTCAGGACTCCTGACCTTACCTACAACTAGCATTTTAGGCTTTGAAAGAGAATAAATAAAATAATAACTTTAAAAATGTATGCTAGACTCTTGGGTGTTTATTTACCAAAGGCTTCCTGGTTTTTTTGTTGTTGTTGAAGTCTGTTTAGTAAGGTGGGTTTGTTTTAAGGCTGAGAAGTTTAGGGGCCTGTAACAGGTTATTAGCAAAAAACAGTTATTAGAAGGAACATTTCTTAAGATCTGCATTCCTTTGTTAACTCCTGATCTCCTCTTCCCAGGGGACCATTCTGTGAACTCTGCTTTTCTTCCCATAGGAGAAGTACGTGAAAGTGAAAACTTGTTATAATTTTTAAATCTGAATATTTACCAGTAGGTTGTATTCTCTAATACTGTTGGGTAAACATTCATACCTTCTATTTGTAAAATATGGCATCTGAAATGCTACTTGGAGGTTGACAATAACATTAATTTCATTACTGTTAGCAGAATATCAGGAAGGTGTGGAAGGTACAAACTCACACGGTACCCTGTGAGTTTGTATCTTCCTATGTGTGGTGGACTTAATTACAGTACACGAGAGAACCGTTTCCCATTCCCAAGTGCCTTGTATTAGTGGGTCCCATTCTGTTTAATTTCGTGATTAATTATCAATAA